CATGGCTGTAAGGTCCGGTTCTGGAGCCGGAAACATGGCTGTAAGGTCCGGTTCTGGAGCCGGAAACATGACTGCTGGGGCCGGCACTGGAGCCGGGACCATGGCTGTAAGGTCCGGTTCTGGAGCCGGAAACATGACTGCTGGGGCCGGCACTGGAGCCGGAAACATGGCTGTATGGTCCGGTTCTGGAGCCGGAACCATGGCTGCTGGGCGCGGAGCGGAAGCCTGGACCCTGGCTGTGTAAGCCAGGTAATGGAATATGGAAGCATGGATGCGTGGGCCGGTACTGGTGCACGGATCCATGGCCTTGTGGGCCGGTTCTGGAGCAGGGACCATGGCTGCCGGGGCCGGCACTGGAGCCGGAACCATGACTGCTGGGCAAGGAACCGGAACACGGGTCCATGGCTGTGTGGGATGGTACTGGAGCACGGTACCATGGCTATGTGGGATGGTACTGGAGCACGGAACCATGGCTGCTGGATCCGGCGCTGGAGCCGGAACCATGGCTGTTGGGCGCGGAACCCTGGCCTTGCGTCTCTCAGGAGTTTTTTGGAGGCTTCGTGGACCTCCAAACGCCAGACCAGACCCCAAGAAAGGGTCAGAAAATGAGGACTGGCTCTCAGGGCTATGTGAAAAAATCCTAAGCCACTCGGGCAACAAGCTCCAGAGCCAGGGCTTGCGAGCAACCTCCTGACGTGCCTCCATCAACGCAGCCTCTCTACCCCGTCTAGATGAGGCGCCTTTCCACGTATAAAAAATACACTCCAGAGAGTATCCAAGACGTTCCGCCTGTAGCATCAAAATGTCTGCTGGGTCCATTTTTGGTCAGTTCGTTCTGTTACGAATCCAGGCACTTAGTATGTAGGACCCAAATGCAGACAGGGAGGCAGAGGTAAAGTATTGTGAGATACTTTATTTTTCCATGATTTAGCAAAAATGAACAAAAAGGTAATCACCAAAACTCCAGTCGAGATGACCAAATATTTTTTTTACTTGCAAAATTATCTTTTAAATTGATCAATGCGTAATTCGTGGCACATTTCAAACGGGATCAAAAGATAATCTTTCTTTCCCTTTCCGGGGGAGGCCACGAATTACGCATTGATCAATTTAAAAGATAATTTTGCAAGTAAAAANGTGTGTGTGTGTGTGTGTGTGTGTGTGTGTGTGTGTGTGTGTGAGCGCTTGTAATACCACATTGTCTAAGTTTTGCATATTGCCTTTGCAATGAGTGTGAGTGCAGCTTGATTGTATAATCTGTTTACTTTGGGTAATGGTATGTTAAATGTGTGTGTGTGTGTCCAGGGTTAACTTCCAAACTCTGTAGTTAAGATCCAGCAGACCAGGGGCTTCATTTATAAAGCCTTGCGTAGGATTCACGTGGGAAGGTTGCTTAGATAGGACAAAGCAAATAAATTCATAAAACACTGTGTACCGGCGTAGGACTTGCGTGCGGCACGTTCTACGCCGCCCTTTATAAATCACAGTCAACTCGAAATGCGGCGCAGCTTTTGCGGGCTTCACGTAACGCCAGTGGCGGCGCCAGAGATTTTCTCTAGGGGATGCTGTGGGGTAGCTTGACATTTCATAGAGGGCATGTAAAGATGCCTATTTTATGAAGTAAGAGGAGGAACTTGATTTATGTTGCTCTCCTTTTGCAGGACGGGCGTTGCTTCGTTTGAACGGGGAAAAGCTAGAGAGGATGGGAATCGTCCAGGAGACGCTGAGGCAGGAGGTCCTCCAACAAGTCCTCCAGCTGCAGGTCAGAGAAGAGGTCCGCAATCTGCAGATCCTTAGTAGAAGTAAGTAACAAGACGGTGTGTGTGTGTGTGTGTGTGTGTGTGTGTGTGTGTGTGTGTGTGTGTGTGTGTGTGTGTGTGTGTGTGTGTGTGTGTATGTGCACAGGGAAAGAAGGAAAGTAGAGAGCAGTTTGGCTAAATTGGGTGGAGGCAGTCTGAGACCACGCGCTCCTACCGTGACATACGCGGAGTTGGACATGGAAGTGCAATTGTTTGTGGCTGCGTGGGGCTTTATTGATAGGAGCTCTTGATTTGCTGCCTTCCCGCTGAACGATGGCTTTGGTAAACACTTTTATTATCCAGCCATCAATAAATGGCTCAGTCAATCACCGCTGACCTTGATTCAGCAGTTGCCTTCTTGCAAACCTGTTTCAGCTGTCGTTGTGCTTGTTGTTGGTGATTGTTGCCTATGTTCATTCATGGCTAGGCAACTCATCAAAGTTACATTTCCACACAATCTCCTTCCTCTCGTGCTGGATTTCAAAAGTTTAAATCATTCAGTTTTGCAATGAAAGGTCAACCAAAAGTTCCTGGATAGATACATACTGTAGGGGTTATCTTTTGGAGAAGTCTACTATAAGTCAAAATTGTATTGACTTTTCAATGGTATTAAACACTTATTAAGTCATATTTAAGAATTTGATGGATGAGTAATGTCATGTCTTTTCTTCATAATTTGTGTTCTGAGCCAAATGCTCTTTGACTTCCAGCTTTTTTACTCCCTTATTACTTGGGGACAATAATCTCCATGATCATGACCTTTCATCAGCAGCAGCATCATGAGCTCATGTCTTGAAGGAAGGGATGTGCAGCTTGCTTTGTGCTTTAGTGGTTTCCAATGTACGTCAGTAATTCAGTTTTCAAACAATAATGTCTGGAGGTTTTGTCTGCTCTCTTCTTATTCATGGGGCACCATGGAGTGCAGAACATTTTCTGCAAAAATAATTAAATGAGAACAAGTACTTAAAAATGTTCTCCAAATTGTGCAATCTGTCTTGACATAAATAGAAGCATTATTAAATGCAGTGCAATGACGTGTTTATGCCACCAACTGTTCATTATGAACTGATAATGTGAGGGCTCTTACAATCACCGGCTTCATTCAAACAAGTAAATGAAGTGGTCTTTGCAATCTGTCAGGCTCACCCTCTCATTTTCTGATCATTCATGTTGCTCGTGCTGCTACAGTTTCTTTCTCTCCACAGTCTGCGTGGAGATAAAAGCTTGACAGAAATGATATAAAGAACTCTTGGTTTGATGCCCATTTTAATCTATCCATGACCCACCTTTGGGACCTGAACGTGTTTTGTAGTGACAACATCAACAGTGTATGGAGCCAGAGATTTTGAGAGAGCTCCACAACCCCACAGCAAAATGAGAAGTGAGGGTGAGGAAGACGGAGATCGGTAGATACGATTTAAAAGATAAGAAACCTAGTGCTACAAACCTGAGATCTATGGAGACTTAGCAAGTCATAGATATGGGCTCCTGACTGTGAGCTGACATTTAG